CAAACAAACAAACAAACAAACCAAATAAAATGAATCAACAATAGCTATAAGCTATAGATACTAATTTGCACCAGTCTTGGCTTCACTTTATCTAACGTGCCTGACTTTAACCTGAATTATAAAACTGATTTTAAAACCAACCAACCAACCAGCCAACCAACCAGCCAGCCAGCCAGCCAATCAACCAACCAACCAACCAACCAACCAACCAACCAACCAACCAACTTACCAACCAACCAACCAACCAGCCAGCCAAATAGCCAACCAACCAACCAACCAACCGGCTAACTAACCAACCAACCAACCAACAAACCAGGCAGCCAACTAGCCAACCAACCACTTCACATCAGTTCACTATTCCGGCATCGTTTTGAGTGTCCTTGGTCTGGAACTGTGTCGTCGAAAACAATCAACGTCCCGGTGTCTGTCATTCCGCACCACTTCTCACACATTTGCGCAATTTAACATTTTCTTTTCACATTTTACATTTTTCCACATTTTAACAACACTCTTAATAACTCTCTTCCATATATTATATTTACAATACTGTAGTTCATTTTTAAACAAATTCACATAAAATTCGCATTTATTACACATCTGGCAGTGCAAGGTATGTTGTTGCCAATTCTCATGAATATTAACTTCAGACATCCTGTATTTTTATCAAATGAACATTTGTCCGTGTTTTTCTTTTAAAAAATGACAATTTATAGTTAATATTGTACTAATTTTTCGTTCATTTTACATGTATACTATAGGGTCTGGTTACATGAACCGTGCGATTAATTTTGGATTACAAACCGATCAAGCAATTCTTTGGACAATTATAGACGTGTCTTCTAAATTTTAGCTATTCAGAAAAGCCTGCCGCAGATTATCTCCGTCGGTTGATTCTATCACAGGCTGTCTAAAAATTCGACGGCATTAAAATCTCAAAACGTAAAGAATGTAGTTACAGTTAGTTACTGAGACTATGTTTGTTACTCAAGGAATCTGTAGTATTGTGAGGGGGACTGTCATGTTTGCCTTCCCTAGGGCTGTGCTCCTCAGTGTATTACTGCTCGTAGTGTTACCAAAGCCAGTTGTACTTCCTGAATGGGGAAAGTCTACTAGTAATGTACATGCACAAACAGGAACATGGCTCACACAGAATCTCAACCCCGTTAAAATCAATCCTGGGTTGTATGGTCTCGGATTCTTTGCTAGATCAGCTACCTACACAATCAAACCTGACAAGACTCTGAACTTATTAGCATGTGTGACGCTGTTGCTGGCTGGGGACGTTTCACCCAACCCAGGTCCGGTTGATGAGGGACTTCCATACTGGAGAAAGGGAATAGTGTATGCCTTTTACAATGTAGTCTCCCTTCCACGACATCTTGATGAAATGCAGCAGCTACTCCTACAAAATGCGCGGATACATGTACTGGGTCTTAATGAAACCCGTCTAACTGATACTATCCCAGACTCAGTAGTGGCAGTGAATGGTTACACTCTGTACAGAAGGGACAGATCCAGACAAGGTGGCGGAGTGGGGGTTTATGTGAGACAGACCATCCCGTCACAACGTCGGTCTGATCTCGAGCGGGACGACCTGGAGGTGTGCTGTGTCGAGGTAAAACCGGAGAAGGCGAGAAAGACTATCCTCGCGTGCGTGTACCGACCACCAAACTCCGGTCCTGAATGGAGAGACTCTGCCGAGTCACTCGTCCGCACTCTCAGCCAAACCGCAGAAGATGAAAACGTGGATGTCTCGATCATGGGGGACTTCAACTCTGACCTGCTTAAATCTACTCAGTCAGAATCTTCAGTGGAATTCCTGATGGGTCTGTACCAACTTGTCCCTGTCATTCACCAACCGACCCGTATTACGGAGACTACTGAATCATGTATTGATAACATTTATGTTTCAAACCCAGTCAGATACAAATCAGCTGCAAGTGTAGCCTGGGGGCCTTCAGATCATAATCTCATTCTGACCTGCTCTAAATCAGGAAGAGAGGCTGGTGCGTCTCACCAGTATGAACACAGGTCTTACAAGCATTACTCACAGCAATCCTTCATTGACAGTTTAAAATCAGTCAGATGGGATACAGTACTCGACTGT